CTGGGATGGCTGAGACTCTCTATTGTTGTCTCGCATATAATCTTCTTGGTGTTCGTTTCTGAAGGGCACTTCAAGCAACCGGATTATGAGGAAGCTTGACTGATCTCGAAAGATCAGCAAGCCAAAAGCCGACGCCGAATTGGGCATCGCTTTTATATTATTACAGGGAGAAGGAAGCCATGGCCGTACAGGAAGTGCGAAACAGAGAGAAAATAAAGAGGAAACAAGAGATACAAATACAGAAACAAGTTCAAGTACAGAGCGGGCCGAGAGCAAGCATTCGCGGAAGGACGAGGAAGGAGCTAGGGTGCGGTCGTGGAAGCGGGACAGCGGAAAGCAGTGAAAAACGTGCCGAAAGTAATGAAGGGCTATCACCGACGTTGTTATATGGACTCCCGACAATATCGTTCAACTCGCTGTTGCATCGGAGGACACTGTCAAGTTGCTGATATACACTTCGGAAGACTCGGACAAACGGCGGATAGCGTTTATCTAGCAGGGAGCAGACGCTCTGCTGACGATGGTCGATTCCAAAGTCCGTGGACACATTACCGACACCCGGACTAACAAGACAGACACAAGAAGCCGAGATGGCCCACTTTGCGGTTCGTTACCGTAATCGAGGTGTGGAATGATCTCTTTCTTGATCGTACGCATCTTCCTCTGGACGGCTGTCGAGATGAACGATAAAAATTCGAGACCTCTAAGCTTGGTCGGATATGGTCGTGACGCTCAAGACTGTATGGAGACCGCTTCTTTTGGTGACATCCATACGAACTATCTAGCGCTTTCTGTCTCCTCACCACGCTAGGGAGTTGAAAGTCTTGAGACGGAGTGTGACGGAGGAAGAGATGGAGGGCTGGGAGCCCTTGATCTTCTTCTGTCAACGGGGACGGAAGAAACCGAAACATCGTCCTCGCCCTCGTCCTCGTCCTCGTCCTCACCCTCATCCCGAACGTCCATCAACTCGTCTGGTGGCTCCGCTTCCTCCATCGTTCCCGGAAGAACGATCACAAGGGATCTATCAAACGATTGGACGTCCGCTGATTGGGCCCGCGGCGTTCCTACGGGCGTTGAGCCGGCCGATTCGCTTCTATCCCTATGGGACCCGTCACGTCCAGTCGTCAGCTCCGGCGTACTCCGGTTACTGTCAAATCGGGACGTGTCCTCGGTTACCAGTTCGTATTCTGGCATCAGCAGACTCAAATCCCGAGGCGGAGGAGTATCCCAGAGGTGATCCTCCTCTTCATCCTCTGTTTTTATGAGAGTGAAGTCTACCTCATTTTCTAGTGTATCTTCTAAAGTCGGTCGTTCTGATGCACGATCTGGAGATGACGACCTCGTCGTCCTGTTTCCCTCGTCGCTTCCCTCGTTTGCGGGATCTGCGGGGGAGACGATGCTGCGCGATCGCAGCTGACGGATGTTGGTCGCACCAATCGTGTTGTCCAACGACATTGAACGTGCGTTGGATGGCCCCGCAACGGCCTCCTCACTAATACGCCGCCTCTTCGTTGGCCTTGCCTCGTCTTCTTCGCCATCGACGCCCTCGACTGGGCGTTTGCCGCCTACCCGGACAGCACAACCTTGAGTAGTCGCCCTTCTAATTTTTCTGCGGGTCCACCCATGGCCACGCTTTTTACGAGCCTTCGGCTTGGGAGGGGGCAGGGAGGAGACTCCCGGAAGTTCTGGGCCTTATGTCAGCTCAATGCTGCACTTACGTATGGAGGTCTAACTTACCTTCACGAGAATTTTGCGGACTTTCGGTGGAAGATCCCGATGCCTGTGGCTGGCTATCAAGGACCTTGGCTGGAATAGATATTTTAATGAGGAACTTTGAACTGGAATGAAGAGGGAGACTTACCATTTCGTTTACGTTTCTTTTCGACGACATGCGCAGCTTGCACTGTCTTCGGGTTGGAGGACGTCAATCCTGTGGAGGAGGGCTGGTCCTCTTTGATTGTGTTCGGTTGAAGGGCACCGTGACTAGATGTGCTGGTGCTGGAGGCATTAGCATGGACGTTGACGGAGCCTTCGGCCCCATCGTCAAAGCCGGCGATGCCCTCTCTGCCGATTGTCTCGACATTGATTCCAGAATGTGAATCGCGCGAATGTCTTGTGTGTGTCAACGATGTTGTGTCGTTGCTGGTTACTTCGACGCTAGTGTTTGCATCGCGCGAGTGAGAACCATTGTGTTCTATTGTATATGTGACACGCTGACGGGGGAAGTTGTTCCGAGGAATTGTTGTTGTGTGTGGGAAGTGGGGATGTGCGGGGAGTGGGGTGTGTGTGCTGAGTTGGTTGACTTTGACAGCCACGCTCTTTATATGCTTTCACGATAGGGTCTGGGCGTCATCAAGACACATCAGTACTAATCTAACCATCTTCGTTATCCATTGTCTTCTAGGCCTAATCATCGCCTAAATTTCAAGGGCGGTTATTCCCGAGGCCACGATCAGTGAGTATTGAAGGAACTGCAGTGCAATTTTTTGACATGCATAGTCTGGTTATATTTTTCTTTTCTTCTTCTCTGGGACTGCCTCGTGCTTTACCCTGATCCTTTGGAGAAGAATGGAAAGGAAGGGGAGGGGGGGATACGGATTGATGGATTGGATTATCTGCAGTTTGCATGACTCTTGTTCTTTCGTAGCCGAATTGTTGAGTGCAAGCCATGCTTCTGGTCAGGAGATATTGTGGTAAGATCCGGACCTTGAACAATACGATTTTACTTCTCTCTTTTGAATTCTCGAATGATCTAGGGTTATGACGCCGAGGACTCGTACGGCAACTATTTGTTTTGGCTTTATCCATAGATTTTATCGGTTTCGCATTGAAGAGTCTGTCAGCAATTGCTTGTGAATGGCGTGCAAGTCCCTTGATGCCTTCTCTTAATCTGGGCGCTCCTGACTTATTGTCCAAAAGCAACAAGGAGCGTGCACACGGACTAAGCGCAACGCTTGAGCTACGCGTTTTGTCATTCAATATATTCCTTTTTTAACCGTGAAAAATGAGAAACATCCGGTTTATCCTCTGCCTATGACTCATTCCCCTCTCTTTATTGCTAAGAAAATTTTGCCAACAGGCGAATAACGATCTACTGGAAGGTGGAACTGGACAGGAAAGCGGGATCAATGCAACGAACGGTCATCGCGTTCATTCTATATTTAGAAGTTCACTTTTGGTGGCTCAAAAGCGTGGGAAAGGAAGTTGCTTCCTCATGCTTCCTCATACTTCGTACCTTGATTTTTACGCTGTAGTACGTTGAACAGTGATAAGTATATCAGATACTTTATGTGTCGTATACACTGCTAGAAATATTTATGTGGGGAGTAATTGCCGGATTCTGCTTTAGTTGGTAAGTTAATGTTTGCCCTTATTTCATCTCCCCTCCAAAGGAAATTATCAGGAGCTCAGTGGCAATACAATATAAAAGTGTGCAGGATGTCACCCCTCCCATTCTCTCCACCTCTCTCTCTCTCTCTCTCTCTCTC